ACACCAGTGCAAAGTGGCTGCAGGACCTGAAAGCAGACCACAGCAAACTCCCAGAACAGGAACCAGTCACCATCTCAGTAGCAGACATCCAACAGTGGGTCAAGAACATGAAGAGCTGGGGGACCTGGCCTGGACATGATCCACACCTACTAGCTAAAGAAACTAACTGCAGTGCATGTACGCCTAGTGGCTCCAACCCAGACTGGCTACACTGGGAACAACACCAGAGGCTCAAAACACTAGTTGTTCATAGATCACCTGAGACTCAAGGTCTAGACAGACCAATCTGAGCACAGCTTGGATTGACTATAGGAAAGCCTACAACTCAATGCTACACACATGGATCTGTGAATGTCTGGTGCTATACAAAGTCAACAGGACACTAAGGATCTTCCTCAAGAACTCAGTGGGACTGGAAGACAACACTGGAAGTCAACTCAAGACAGCTCACACAAGTGACCATCAAGTGCAGCATATACCAAGGTGATGCACTGTCCCTGCTGCTGTTCTGCATAGGTTTGAACCCCCTCAGCCAGATAATCACAATACAATTGGATATGAATACAAGTTCAAGAGTAAAATTGCCATCAGCCACCTCCTCTACATGGATGACAACAAACTGTATGCTAAGAATTAACGAGACATTGATCTGCTGATCCACCTGATACAGATCTACAGTGAGGACATTAGAATGTCATTCAGACTGGAGAAATGTGGCTGGATGGTAGTAAAAAGAGGGAAGGTAGTTAAGACTGATAGGGTGGAACTACCAGCGGGCCACATAGCAGACATACAGACCAGCTGTAAGTACTTTGGGATCCCACAGTCACACAGGAACAACACTGAGGAGGGAAGAAAGACAGCAACATCCAAGTACCACCAAAGGATAAGAAAGGTCCTGAAGAGCCAGCTCAATGGGAAGAAGAAGATCCATGCCATCAACACTTACCCCCTGCCAGTCATCAGATATTCTGCCAGTATAGTGAGCTGGCCAAAGGAGGACATGGAAGCTGCTGATGTGAAGACCTGGAAGCTCCTCACAATGTATGGAGGTCCACCCCGAGTCCAATACCCAGAGACTGTACACCAGCCAGAAGGCGGGCGGGGTCTGGTGAGTGTCAAAGCCACTGTCCTGGATGAAACCCAGAGTATCCAGGAGTACATCAGTAAGATGGCACCCAAAGATAAGTTGCCAAGAGAATGCCTAAGGCAGCAACAGACATGGAAGTTCAAGCAGAGGAAGTGCCATGGAAAGACAAGCCCCTCCATGGGATGTACCATCGACAGATAGTTGAAGTGGCTGACCTTGGGAAATCCTGCCATTGGTTGGAAAGGGCTGGACTAAAAGCACTGAGGCACTGATCAGCACAAGAACACGCGCTAAGCACCAGATCCATAGAAGCAGGGGTCTACCACACTAGACAGGACCCAAGGTGTAGGTTGTGCAGAGAGGCCTCAGAGACAGTCCATCACATAGTGGAAGGGTGTAAGATGCAGGCAGGAACAATACACTGAATGGCACAACCAAGAAGTTTGTATTGTGTACAGGAACATCTGCATAGTGTATGGGCGTAGACCCTCCCAAGTCCAGATGAGAGATTCTACAGAAGGTCATGGAGATAAGAGGGTTAGATCCTGTGGGACTTCCAGATCCAGACAGGCAATCAACCGGACATCGTAGTAGTAGACCAGGACCAGAAGACAGTGGTGGCGATAGATGTAGCAGTGCCAAGTGACAGCAGCATCAGGAAGGAGTATGAGAAGCTAGAGAAGAACCAGGGCCTTCTGGTAGGAAGGAGAAACTAAAGAGGAAGTGGAAAGTCAAGGCCAAAGTGGTCCCAGTGTGGCAGGAGCACTCAGGGCTGTGACTCCTAAGCTGGGAGAGTGGCTCCAACAGATCCCAGGAACAACATCAGAGCTCTCTGTCCAGAAGAGTGTAGTGCTACGAATAGCTAAGATATTGTGCAGAACCCTCAAACTCCCAGGCCTCTGGTAGAGGACCTGAGATTGAGGAAGACACATAGGGGTGAGAGGGGATTTTTAGCTTTGTTTAAGCATTTGACATGCCTCCAGAAATTTCCAGTATGCTTGAGTTTGTGGCTTAGTTAAAGAAATAAGACTAAACAGAATATTCATGCTCATGCAGTAATCTTGTGACCATGCGTGCAGGTTATGCATATAATTTCTGGAATCTCTTCCATGTAGGAATTAATTTGCAATCCATATGTAGAAGTTCACAAGTGATAATAATCTAAATCCCCTCCAAGCATTTGAATGCACAAAGGCTTGAAAATGGGTAGAGCATATAATGCACACACTGACCCCCATCCCTTGGTCTCTCCAACTTCACTAGGTTCAGACAGGAGATCTGGAAATGACTTGTACTCATATTTGCCTGGATGTGAAAACAGCTCTTTGTGAAATCTGGGATCCTAAAAGATTGCCAGAGAGCTGTATGTGTGTTTAAGCAAATGTAAGTGTAGTGCTCCTTCATACTCCCCAGATCAATACGTAGAGGTGAGAGTGGGAGAGGAGACTACCTGCCTCTACCTGCTTTCAAGCCCAATCCAAAGAGGGCTATATACTTGCTTGCCATTAAATGTGTATGCGTTGGGAATTAGGATTGGCCACATTATGTTATCACACACGTTCAGATGAAGGTCCCCTTCCTTCCATATTTTTATTCTGGAATGTTTGGTGGGTGGGAAATGAAAACACCACACACATGCTTTTGGAATACACATATGAGGAATACTACCTGTTCACTGACTTTAGACAAGCAATATAGTTGTTGCTTTTTACATAGTCAATTTTCAAGGTTTTTTTTTTTAATGTTAAACCCTACTAAATTTAAAGAATGTTGGCACAATTTTATGTCATATAACTTTTATGCACTAAACTATTCAGGGTGCCTTTTTGACAGAAATGGTATATATATTTAAATTAAAAGGTGTTATGATAAGTAATAACAATGTTTGTTAATAGATGTGCTAGTTACATAACTTCAGCATTATTTAATGGTACATTAAGGTGTCTTGTTTTACCCAATTTTAGATCAACATAATGAAGTTGGAGAGCCAATGACTAGGGAGTTCTTATATTCTAATGTGTGCAAAATACAGGATGGTGAAAATTGTTCTTCTGTTATTCCTTCTACAGGCAAGTGTCCTTCAGCATTTGTTTTTTTCATGTACAAGTTTGTAAACTGCAATTCTCACTGCATGTTTCTAATATAATGTAGTCCTTATCCATTCTGGCTTCCTTTATATGTCAACCCTCTCAAACACTATAATGGCAGTATGTATGATACATGAAGTACAAAGACACTGACTTTGATACCATGCTGTAATCTCAAAATGAACAGAATATTGAATGCACATTGCTATGTTCCCTACTGTTACCACCCTAATATTTCTTACTACTGTTAAAGACAACAAATCAACATTATTTACAGGTTACACTAACCAGTGCTTTCCCAGACCAGAGGTACATATCAACCATTTCACCCAGTCCTGAGATCTCCCATATCATGGTGTTCCTTATTTTGGGGGGGGATAAAATTGCTCATGTTGTTGGAAAGCTAGGAGGGTACATGAATTCATGTGTAGTAAATTGCTTCTGTCCTTGAAAATGAGACATATAACATATTTTTATACTATCAAAAATAAAATATGTTTTCTTTACAGCAGGAGTGCCCAATTCAGATCATCTGAAGAGATCACTAGTTCATTTTTCTTGATGTGTAACATTTATAATAGCCAAAATAAATCCAGCATTTTCCTTATAGACTGAATGCACAATTAAAATCACCCTGAGAGCCACTAGTTTTTTGTTTATTAAGAGGGCCAAGATGCTGCATTGATTGTGGGAAAATGCTTCTTTTCTTCTCATCATGAACATCCTATTCTTTCTTGAATGCTATAATTCAGTCTCTACCATACAATAATATAAAACCACTCACATATATCTCTGCATTACTGCCTCTTTTAGTGGCTTTCTCACCCACATATTTTCTTCCACTACATTTTTCAGTTCTCCCATTTCTGCTTCTACTCTTGGTGGCAGTAACATTCAGGACTTTTTATTCTTCTAGAATTATTGTCCTGATGTAGTGTTAAATGGAGTATAACTTGGCTGGCTATCATTAGCTGGAAAATTGGTAGCAGCTGTATGTGTCTCTAAATTCAGGAAAACTTAGACAAAAATGACATGACAAAGGCATTCTCTCTTCATATCCCACACTTGATAGACTTAGGTGGACTCTAAAGTTTCTCACAAAGTGATAAGGAAGAAGAAGAGTTCCCTTTGGGAACAGGGAACCAGAAACTGGGTAGAGAAAAGGATCAGTTGTCCATAATCATGTCCCATGACATTTTGTGAACATAGAAATATGCATCAGAAAGATATTCAAAGTTTTCAGTAGATAAAACAAATTAATTCACTGTTGTATGTATAAGTGTTTGTCATTGGTGGTTACTTACAATGTTCCAGAATTATAAAAGAATCTTGCTAAACATTAATGACAAGTTTGCTTCTGAATTAAAACTAGAGAAAGTAGATTGTGTGTTCATATGTCTGCACTAAAAATATGCTTATATTGTTTCTTGTAAAGACATCCCAAAGCCCAGAATATTATGAATGAGTTTATAGGATGAGAGTAGCCATGCATCCAATTTGTAGGATTTTTAAAAATATCAAATAAAAATTCTGAATAGCCCAATGAATCACAAAGCTCTGCAACTAGGCTGTTGAACTATAGAAGAGAGAAAAAGAGGCAAGGGGTGGTCCTTATTTGGCTTTAAAATGGTTGTTCAAAATATGGAAGAGATGTAACAGATCTTCAGCTTCCCACCTTCTCACAGCCATGTCCCAAACTTCTTTTATTTAATAGAGCTATCTTCTGAAGATTCTGAAGAGGATAAAGAACATACATGTGAGACATTGCTGATGTGCATTGTTACCGTGCTTAGTCATGGCCTGAGGAGTGGGGGTGGAGTAGGAGATGTACTCAGGAAGCCGTCCAAGGAGGTAAATTAACAGTACATGTGAAAGAGGTAGTGCACGTGTGTGGTGGCAGTGGGGTATTGGAGAGCTATATATATATTAAAAAAAATTGAAATGATCTTTTATAGAAAATTAATATTGTGCAAAGTTTGAGTATTTTATGGTGCAGACTAAATGTGTAAGTGTTTTGCTAGTGAGGAATTGTCAGCATTGATGTTTTCAGATAGAATCCACTGTTATTATAATACAGAAGTTGCCAGTGTTGCAGTAATTAGATTATATTACCAGGGCAAGAACTTTCCCAAATGTGCATTTCTTTTACTATCTATAAGCACATTTTTGACCATGAACAGGGTTTCTTATCAACAATGGCAAAAGTGCTGTAAAACTATTTCCAGCACTACTATACTGAATATACATTCAGTCAAAGCTCCTATTAAGTGCAGGAATCCAAATTAAAATATCACTGGCAGATGTCTCTCTAGCCTCCACCTGAACGCATCCAGTGAAGGGGAATTCACCAGTTCTTTGGGTAACTGACTCTGTGGTCAGACTGCTCTTATTGTCATGATTTTTTTCCTAATATTATGTAGGAAACTGCCTTCTTGCATGTTAAATCTGTTATTCCATGTCCTGCACTCTGGGGCAATAGAAAACATGTCTTGACATTCTTCTATGCAATGTCTCTTTCAGTGCTTGTAAAGTGCTATTTCATCCCCTGTGTTTTAACTTTTCAAGGCTATACATTTCCAGTCCCTTCAAGCTCTTTTTACAGAACCTAGTTTCAAGTCTCCTGTCATCTTCATTGTACTTCTCTCAACTTATTCCAATTTATCTGAAACCTTCTTAACTGTACACAATAACCATGGTGAAAAATGAATATCAAAGAATAAAATGAATCTGTTTCTGTGATTTGGGAACTTTACTTCTGTTGATGCAGCCTAAAAGTGAATTTACCCTTTTTTGCAGCTGTATCATGCTGTTTACAATCAGTTACTGTTCCACATTTGGTCACAAATAGCATTGCTAAGCCAGGAATTCCCTATTCTGATTTCTGTTTTCTAAAAGGAGAATTTTGCATTTGTCTCTATTGCATTTTGTGTTATTTTTAACCCATTTCTCTAAGCATTTAAGATTGCATTAACTTATTTTTGTCTTCTAAGATAGAAGTTTTGTGCCACCTCTTCATCCAAGTCATTAATAAAAATGTTGATTATTACATCCCCCAGGACTGGCACTCTACTCAGTATCTCACTCCAGTTTGATGAAGCATATGGTTTTTGAACCAGTTGTGGGTCCAATTAATTGTCATGCCATCTATTCCACACTTAATTTATCTTGCTAATTAAACATTATGGTTAGTTCATCAAATGCGTTGATGAAATCAAGATGTATTTTATCTATAGTATTCCAATACTCTGCAAAAGAACTTACCCAATCAAAAACTAGTATTAGGTTAGTCTGGCAAAATTTATGCTTGATTTCTGATTGTTACTGCATTGTTTTCAGGGTACTTACAGGTTGATCATTTTAGAATCTTCCCAAGTATTCATGTCAAACTGACTGGCTGGTAGCTCTCTGAATCATCATTTGCTTTTCTTAAGTCATCTGGCATTTCACCCATTCTCCAGGACTTCTCTAAGTTAATACATAAAGGTTTCAACAGACCATCAGCAAACTCCACTGACAAACTAGATGCCATTCTTTGGCCTTGGAGATTTAAACTAATTCAAAGCAGAGTCCCTGACTGTGTTTCTGTCAGTTTGACATTTCAATCCTGCCCCTTCATCTTTTCCTTTACAACTGCTTCATGGATCTTATTTTTTTCTTTCTTCACTGAGCAGCTAATACAATGATTCTTTTGTCTATCTTCTATTTTGATCATATCTGAATTACCCCTTTTTGTTGTTGTTAGCATCCTATGCCAAGCTTCTTCTGAGCTTGACATCATCACTATAATTCTTAGCTGTTTGGACTCTGTCTTGATGACTTGCTCTTCTTTCTAGCACCTGCATTTGTCCTTTTCTGCTTCCAGAGTTTGTTAAGCTTTTGTGCAGCCATATTGCCTTGTGCTGTCTTCCATTTTCTTCCTAATTGGAATTGTGATCTTCTTTTTTAGGAACTCCCACTCATCTTGAGCTCCATTTCCCATTAGTTTCTCCTGTCATGGGATTTTACTTATCACTTCTCTGGTTTATTCATTTCTTTAAAATTTAAGACACTCATTCAACTACACTCAGGTTTAGATTAAGAAATCAAGAGTTTGAGCACTAAGGCTAGAATTGTGGTATCTATTACATGCATAAATGTCCATCATGTTCAGGGTAAGCAATGTTATATACAGTATAGAATAGCAATAAGCAATATCAAACCAAATAAATTAAAAGCATGAGATGAGAAAAAAAAGGGAAGGGAATATAGCTGACTCTAGTTTACATCAGCACCATTCACTATTATCTCTTCATATATTTCTACCCTTGCAAACCATTCTTGCTTATATGTCCATACATTACACAATGTAATTTCTTCTTAACTTCTTACCTGTCTCTTTCTGAGGATCTCATCAACTCCATCCAACCTTGACTTTCTCAGTTTTTCCCTTCCTCTTGACCCATTCACTGTTACTTCATATATTTGTTTTGCAATTCATTCATTCTCTCTAAATGTCCAAACCACCTCATTGTATATATTTTGTACCAGTAATTCACATTTATGTTCAATCCATATTCAAAAGCAATCCATATTCATTAAGCTTTTCATTCTTGACCCTTTCTTCTTGTTTTACCACACACATTTATTAAATACCCCATTTCCACTGCATTCAGTTTAACTTCTATGTTTCTTCTGATATACTCGCACTTCCATATAACAAGGTAGGCCAAAGCATGCTCTTATGCACACCCACTCTCATTTGTGTATCTTAAACTATAACTATCCACTTCCCCATCTTTAATAAACATTCTACCAAAATAAACACATTGCTCTACTTGCTCTACTTTTTCATCATTTGTGTACAACTTTCATTCATGTTTTCCCTATCAAAATCAAGTACCTTAATCTTTGATGCATTAATTTTCAGATCCATGCTTGTTGCATAATACAGTCTACCTAACATTAGCTGCAGATTATTTGGGTTCTCAGCCAGCGACATGGCATTACCTACATACAAAGTTCAAATATGCTCACATCCCCACCTAACACACCTCTAACATCACCACAATAATTTCTTATAAATTGATTTCTAAATACTTCAACATTGCTTAATGTGTTAATACAAAATATATCACACACCCATGTCTTAGTCCCTGATTTATAATCCACAAGCATAATGTAGTATTCATTGTACATAAAAATAAGAAACAGGAAATAGAAAATAAAGTCTACGAATGAGAAATTAGTTGCCACAAAAGAAAGCCCAATGTATATGTGGCATTTATATATGTTCAGTAATTAAGTAATATCCTGTTTGTAGCTTTCTTTTCTTTAATACTCTCCATTTAGTATCTGAAAAATATCTGCATTTTAGGAACCTCTCTTTGCTGCAAGAGTGATATATGACCTCCTCTTCTTCTTTATGGTGATCATTATTGTCCTTAATCTGATTTTTGGAGTCATTATTGATACTTTTGCTGATCTAAGAAGTGAGAAACAGAAGAAAGAAGAAATTTTGAAAACAACATGCTTTATTTGTGGTAAGTGTAAGAACCAGCAAGAGTTCAGTTCTAGGCAAATATAGGAATGTCTCCATTCCCCAAAAGGAATGCACATTTTTGTGGGGGAATCAGCATTGTATGAATGTTTTTAGAATAACTTGTAAGGGGCCATGTAATGTTAAGCTTTTGACAAAGTCCCTTCTGAAGGCTACTGAACTCAGTTGCCATAGGATAAGAGGGCAGTGTTCTCATAGATTGGCCAGTGGTTAAAAACAGAAGCAAAAGTAGGAATACATGGGAAGTTCTTACATTAGAGAGATATACCAGGTAAGGTCCCCTCGAAATTGGTGTTGGGATAATGCTTTTTAACTTACATAAAAGATTTGTAATTAGGGCTGAGCAACATGGCAGCCATGTTTGCTGATGGCATCAAACAATCCAGACTGTACCTATACTTTGGATCTGAGCTGGTAGAGACTGAATAGGAAAGAGAATTATGGCAGACAGCGTAATGAAAATGGCAAGCCAGAGATTAGTTGCTGTGAAAAAGACTAATTCCATACATGGAAAAGTTAGGAAGGGACTTAAAAATAGAACTGCCGGTGTAATAATGCCTTGCACACATAGAAGGTGGGACAAATATACAGAAGAATACTGTATAGGATATTATAGAACTAAAAAATTAAAGGGCAACCATGTCATTAAGCAGCTGGACCAATCCCCCCCCCCTTATGAGGAAGAACTACAGCAATTAGGGAGGTTTAGCTTCAAATGAAAATAGGGAACAGTGGACATAATAAAAGTACATAAAATATAACTTGGAGAAAAAAAGCTTTTCTCCTTCTCTCACCAGGTTAGAACCCGAGGTCATCCTTTGAAATCAGATACAAGGAGATTCAGAACTAATAGAAGGAAAACATTTTTTTTTCTTTTCTGTAGAATTCATTGCTATTAGGTGTGAGAATGGCAGCCAATTTTGATGGCTTTAAAAGGAGAATGGACAGGTTTGTGAAGGATATTGTTAGTTGCTTACTACTTTCTTAAATATTGGATGCTGGAAGCAACTTTGAAAGGGTACTATCACCATCTAGCCCAGGCTTGTGAGCTTCCCAAATGCATCTTATTGGCCACTCTGTAAACAGAATGCTGAAGTAGATGCTCCAATAATCTGATCCAGGGCTCTTCTTATGTTCTTATGTTTATTCTTAATGTTCACACACTTATAAATATCGACACAGAAATAATCAGTCCTCAGCTACATATTGTGAGACTTCATTTTCTATAAAATTGTATGTAGCCCAGAACATACAATGTGTGTTTAACGTTTGAAAATAAGTAAGGGCCAAGCAATATTCATCTGAATCTTACCATTACCAGAAAAAATGTCTATATTCTGTAGATAGTCTTGCATGTTTAAAACAGTAAAATCATACAGTGCTTTCTGAAACAATTTTTAAAAAATGATGTGAACAGTTTTACATTACTGTGGTTATCTTTGAAAAAAATGCAGTGGAATCCAGTCGCTCCAGCCCAATTAACCAGTGAGTGTACTATATGAAAACATATGCTGTATTTGGTCAAACATTCTCCTTCCAATTGTGTTCAGAGTTCAAAGGAAATGTTTCTTTCTGGTTGTAGAAACTGCTTCTGTGCACAGCATTGATTGGATTGTAATCAATGAAATAATCTGATTCTATTCTCCTTTTTGAATGTTTTTTTTAATATTTAAAAGGTTCTTTTGAGAGGCAACTAGAACAAATAAGTATGTATTTGAATGAATGAATGAATGAATGAATGAATGAATGAATGAATGAATGAATGAATATATATATATATATACACACACACACACACACACATACACATACATACACGCACATACATGCATACATTCATTCAAATATACATACATACATACAATAATAAAAGTATGTGTGTGAATGAAGAGGACAGTTTGTACCAGTCTGAAGTGCTGAAGGAAGCACAGGACAAGCTACTGCACTGAAGAATGTTCATTTTTCTGGTAGATTTCTTCAGGTAGATTGTGGAAAGCCTAGGCTTGGGCTGAAAGAGAAAACAACAGATTTGTTTCTGATTGTTTTTACGTATGCACACACTCTTGGTTCATTTAAGTCTTGACAAAATTATTGAACCAGGGATGCTCACAGGGACGGTCACTAACTTCAAAACAGTGGGCATGACATAAAAAGTGGTGAGGCTTTGCTTCCCCAGTATCCATTATTCTGAAGTGTGAGACTAGGCTGAAGTTGCCATAACCTAAAGATGAAGCAGGCACTAAGCAGAGATGACAAAAGCCAGGAATCTTGTCTAAAAGATCCCATCAGAGGTAGATAAGAAGGAAACAAGTCATTAAAGAAACAAAGGAAGTAGACAGAGGAAGCTGGGCCTAAGCACAGAGAAAAAACTCCAATCCCATCAATAGCTACTAGACTTGTAAATCAACAACACAAGAGTAGCTGCCAGTCTTGTGAATCAACAAAGCAAGGACTTTGGGGAATAAAAGAGGTCCTGAAGCCCACCCACTCCTTGAGTTGTCCTGGATCTAGACTTGGTGGCTTCCATTCCTCTAGCTAGTGCCTGGCAGCCTACTTGAGAAGGACATGGGTAAAGTGGGCATGAGTGATTGTGCGTGTGCATGAGAAAGAGCAAATGTATGTTGCAACCAGTAAAGTTTTGCTGGCTAATTCACTGAGTCTCCATGTATTCCAAAAAACCTGATGTGCCCTAATTATTTCCTGGCTGTTGACAAGGGCTTTGTGTCTTGTCTGCAATAGCTACACCTATCTGGAAAACCAGGGGTGGGGGGGGCTTACAAGGTCCACATGCCTCATCAGGCTGTGTGAGTGAGAGACCATAAGCCAAACCTGAGAATGCGTGTAACAGAAGCTAATGACTGTCACTGCAGAGGTCCCGCATTGAACCAATTTATGAACAATTGATTCAGTCCCCACTGATTTCACTGAGACAGTGAAATTAACATTTGTTGTGGTGGCTGTGTTATTGTTGGCACAATATGATACAGTAAGAAGCACACAAGTATTTTTTGTCCATAAGGTCAGCCATGCATTTGACTTTGGCCAAGAGACCAGATGCCCCATAAAAGAGCACTCAGTTTCCAGAAAATGATGAGACAAATAACTGTATGTCTTTTAAAGATTTTCTTAAAAACTGTTTTCTGGAACTCGTTTTTAACATTCTGAAATAGAAGATGTTCTTTCCTTTTTAGAAGCCTAAATATGATTATCGTGTTTAATTTTCCTCATTAGGTCTGGAAAGAGACAAGTTTGATAACAAGACAGTGACTTTTGAAGAACACATTAAAGAGGAGCACAATATGTGGCACTACTTATTCTTCATTGTCTTGGTGAAAGTAAAAGACTCTACAGAATATACAGGACCTGAGAGTTATGTAGCAGAAATGATAAAGGTGAGTTTGCCATACTGTCCATGAAGTATGGCTTGTTCATACTTCTTTTAATTCTTCTAATGCCAGAAAGGCTGAGTTCACATTCTATAAAGGTCTGTAATGAGCACTGATGCATACCTCTTTATTTTCTTTATTTCCTGAGTGAGAATGTGGTCCTTCAGAAAAATTAATAATTTGTTTTTAGTATTGTCACGAAATAATGTGGATGTTTAAGGTTAAACCTTTTTCCCCCTTGATCAACAGTATTACAGTTACTGTCTTCCCCATGTCTGATATATTTGCAAAGCCATTTCACACAATTCATATTTTGCTCATAAAAAGAAAAAATGTTTTGGTAATTCTTTTGTAACTTCAGCACACCAGATATGGAAATCCCATAAGAACAATATTACCAGCACCTTGAATCATTAGCAGAAGTCACCTGGCAACCAGTGGAGCTCGTGAAGCAATGGGGTCACCTGAGAATATCAGGACACAGCCATAACTGCCTAGGCCACCACATTCTGTACCAGATGTAGCTTACAAATGGTCTTCAAGGGCAGACCCAAGTAAAGTACATTATAGTAATCGAAACAGGAGATGACTAAGGTATGAGTGACTGTGAGCAAAGCCTCCCAGTCCAGGAATGGTCACAATTAGTGGACAAGATATAACTCTGCAAACAATTGCCACATTGCTCTTCAAGAAGGAGCTTGAGTCTAAGAGAATCCCCAAATTGCCAACTACCTGTTCATAGATGGAATTTCCCTGGAATTATTAGGTTCATGGTCTCAAAGCCATTTTGTCTTGGAGGGATTCAGTCTGTTCCTCCGTATCCAAACCCCGGTAGCCTCAAGGCATTGAGTCAATGATTTCATTGCATTGCCTGTTTGGCCTGGGGACCAGATGCATAGCTGGGTATTATTAGCATATTGGTGATATTGAACCCCATGCTGGTAGATGACCTCATTCAATGGTTTCAAGTAGATGTTAAAAAAGAAGGGAGAGAGGAGAGAATGCTGAGGCATTCCACAAAGTAGAGTTCTCAGGGCAAGACAGTGCCCTCTGCTGTAATCCTTCAGAGACAGTCGAGTAGAATATCATAGTTGGTGGTAATTGAAAGCCACTGGGAGATCAAGGAGGACCTAAAGGATTGCATATCCTGATCCCAATCTCTTCATAGGCTCAAGCACGGCCAATGCAATTTCTGTGCTGTACTCTGGCTTGAAACCTGACTGCCAAAGATCCAAATTTAGTTCATCTAGGCTTCTCTGCAGTTGCAAGGTCACCATAGTATCTATAAACTTTTAGAAAAAAAGAATGTTGGTGATAGTTCTAAAGCTGTCCAAAACAGTTGGATTGAGCAATGGCTTGAACAGGGGATGTACCATAGCCTTCTTCAGAAGTGATGAAAATTCCCCCCTCACTCAATGAAGCATTTAATATTCCTTGAATCCAACTCCTGCTACCTCCTGGGAGGCCTTAACCAGCCATGATGGGCAGGGATCCAATTGGGAAGTGGCAGAATTGACACTGCAGGGGGTTCTGTCTGCTTCCTTCAGACTCAAAATTATTCCCATATGACTTCACAAGACAAGGCCTCAATCATATCCATTAGCATTGTCCAGTTGGAGCCCAGCTGTTTTCAAATTTGAGCAGGTTTATCCACCAAGGGTTGCAAACTTTCTTCAGAGAGGCTGTTCAGATAGTCTTGCCAAATCTCCTTCCCAATAAGGAAATGGGTTGCCTTAACAATGGTATTCAGCAAATACAATAAGTTTGGCAAAATATCTCTTTTGGTGATAATATCACCACTGTGTAGCCTCAAATGTGAGCTCCTAACCAATGACTGAACAGACTTGAGATGGATCTTCCTCCAGTAGCACACTAGGCGTCTCCTCTGCTGCTTCATCTACCTGAGTTCCTCAGTGAACCAGGGAACTGCAGTGAGTGAACAATCTGTCCCAGCACCCCAGACGTCCTTTTATTCCAGTAAGAGGCCAGAATCTCAGCCAACCTACTACTGGATCCTCCGGAAACTCCCCGAGAGCCCACAGGATCCATCAGGCAGCTGGGATGGACTAATCTAATAGGTTCTTCCACACAGCAGAAGGGTTCATACTACAAACCTCTATGGCAATCAGAGAGTGATCTATCCATGACAAAGAACAAAATTCAACACCCTCCACTTTCAGATTATGTGGCATCTGGCCTAAGGCAGAAACTAGATCTAGTGTGTGGCCACCCATATTCTTTGGGCACTCAATATGTTGGATCAGGCCCATAGTTGTCACAGCAGCTGTGAACTCCTGGGCCACTCCAGACCTCTCATGAAAGGAAGGCAGGTTGAAGTTCCCAACACTACCAGGTGGGTAGATTTTGGAGAGGGAAACATCCCCTTCTCCGCCACCAAGTGTTCATGATATAATCCAAGCCTTCCCTCTCATCTGCAACCTAATGGTGAATAAGGACAATTTTACTGCAAACAGACCTGGCATTTAATAGCAGCAGTTAAAGCCCTTGGACTCCAAGGATCTGAAGTTGTGCTTCCCAGTGTGAAAACTGAGAGCTGGAAGGGGGGAATTAGTTGAAGGTACCAAAGATACCTTTCCTAAGTGAGGCTGTCTCTCAGCCTCCTATCATATCTCTTCTTACATATCACAATCAAAATCCCATTTCACATAATGCCCCCCCCCCCAAATATTGGCCAGTGCCTCCACCTCCTAATTCCCTACCCATCTAGCCTAGGTTATACTCAAGCATATGATTCTGGATTAAATCAGCCCCTCAGATGCCCCACTCATAAATCCACCACCCAAACTACATACCTGGCCCCCTTCCCTCCTTTCCTTCCACCACCCCACCCATCTGTTGGGTGGATAATGCAGTATTCTCAAGTACAGTGGTATCTCGGGATACAAACGCCTCTGCTTACGAAGTTTTCGAGATACGACCAGCTCCGGCCCCAAAAATTTACCTCGGGTTGCGAACTCCGCCTCGAGTTACGAACCGGATCCGCGGCCATTTTCCCTGCTGTCACACGGTCGCGGCTTCCTGTGGGCGAGATCACGGTAGCAAGGAGAG